TCAAATAATTACTGAGGAACTATTACTCACATAGTTTGCACCTGCCTATTATATAATGTTTGGGTGTACCCTAAAGAAAAGTGAATTTACTAAGGAACTAATAATTACCTAGCCAGTACCTTACCGTATCTGATCTTTCTGTCTACCCTTAATTAAAGTAAAACTATCTATTAGTTCCTGCTTAGTTATTCTAAGCAACTACAGAAATAAAGAATTCACAGTGATACCAGATTATTTTACAGCCTAGGCTTACATTTTTTCTATTCACCACATCACTTATAGTCTTCTTATCACTGAACTTCAAAGTCACAATGATCAGAAAGTAAAAGTAAAGGATTCTTCTAAAGAGAAAGTGTTCATTTTAGACTCCGGATAATGCAAGCTTCAAGCAAATTGTTTAAAAAATAAATAATGAAAGCAGCAATATTTTCAAGCTGAAAATCACAGACTTTACAGTGAAAGATTTTAATTTTTACTGAGTCTGGTGAAGATGGAAAAAAAAACACTGAAATGCCACTTGATTCAACATTTCCGGCTCATGAAACAAGCCAACAGAAAGCACCTCCTGCAATTTCACACATGAAGTGAGCTAAGCTCTTGTCACATTTATATTATCTCTGATCAGTGCATTGATGGGGAAGAGATTATGTAGAAGAGCCAACCTTTTGTATCAAGTGCATGAAATATGAAAGTAGATACAGTTACCAGCAGAGATGCCTTGATATTTTAATTCTGCCCAGGTAGATATAGATATAATGGTAAGTGCTGTTAATATATCAAGCAATTACATCAATATTTAACAGTTTTATTTCTGATATCCTTTTTTTTTGGTCAACTAATAAGGACTTTATTTTAAATAATGATTGCAAAGAAGCTGTGTAAGAAACTATCATTTGTTTATCACTTGTCTAACAATGTTTTTTTGTCCACCCATACAAAGGAAAAGGTATGTGACAGATTTAGGGCTAATAGGCCTATAAAGTATTTTGTGTATATAAAAAGAATTAATACATCTTGTCCTTTAAACCTGTATGACTAACTGAACGTCACATTAGATATGCTGATACGTCAAGGTAAAAAGTTTTACTGCTGTTTATGTGAGATGCTGCCATACTAAATGTGGAAGCAAAGTGTGGTCATGCTGTCCTGACTTTTCAACTGGAAGGTACTTTTACTCAGATTAGTGTAGATTTGGTACGGTGATTTTATTCTGAAATTCACTGGGACTTTTTTTTTTTTCTTTCTGTCCTGAAATTCAGGAGCTTGATGCGAAGACCACTGCGGCGTCTGGCGAAACCTCCTCCTTGCGGTCCGCACCGTGGCTGATGTGAGTGTACACATTGATTTTAATGATTAGGCCTCACTGCTGCACCACCTGCACAGCAGCCGCACCATGTTCTGTATGAGCTCGGGGTAAGAGAAAACCATGCTACTGAATGAAAGAAAATAACTGGCAAGATTGTAATAGACATTTAACATTTAATCTGCTAAACTGCTAAATTTATAAAAAAAAGAAGAGGAAGGTTATCTGGAATTTCTTACTTCCTTAACATTTTTTGTGTTGGAATTTGTTTTTTCTCTCATCAGTACATCATGTATAAAACACTCTTTTGATTTCTGTTCAAATTTACAAATAAATGTATTTAACACTGTAGTAAAGATCCTTTACTATCAATTATTACATTTCAGAAAACACGTTATGTCTCAGCATGCGCCTTAACATGTATATCCTGACAAATATAGTTAACAAAGTAAATATTTTCCTTTAATATTTTGGAATATTTTAGAATATTTCACGGCTCAAATTTCTGACAATATAATCCAGCAGAGTGGCATTAGAACATTTATATTCAAATCTCCAGAGTAAGAGTGGCAGCAGGTTAACAGACAGCTCTTGTAACCCCGTCAGCTAAATAACAGAAAAATATGACTTCTCCAAACAGTTCCCTGAGGACATGGGGCCAGAGAGCAGCAGCCAATCAAGCATGCAGTTAAACCCTGGAACACTTCCTTTTCTCCTGTGAGATTCCTACTGGAGAGGAAAATTAAATCGTCTGAAATCTGAGCGCTAAGCCAATTTTCCATGTGTTTTATATGTACATGCTGTCCTATTTGAATACATTTTCAACTAAATTAGAAGAAATAATAAAACAGAACTGCATCAGGTCAAGCAGCAGCATGCAATTTAAGGGACATTAGTTTGTGAAACTTATGTTATTTTAATATTCTTATATCCTCCCTATTTGTATTTATTTATTTATTTATTTATTTATTTATTTATTTTTTGCACACAATATTTCACATCAAATAGGTCCTCATATCAGAAGCAAATAACCTGTAGAATCAGGAAATTAGCCTGCACATCTATTATTGATTCCAACTTTTTATTCGGTGAAAACAAATATGAAGGTACTTCACAGGCTGACTACTGTCAGAAACTTTATTACAGACTTATACAGGTGCTGGTCATAAAATTAGAATATCATGAAAAAGTAGATTGATTTCAGTAATTCCATTTAAAAAGTGAAACTTGTATATTATATTCATACATTACATACAAACTCATATATTTCAGATGTTTATTTTGTTTAATTTTGATGATTACAAATGACAACAAATGAAAATCTCAAATTCATCATATCAGAAAATTAGAATATTACTGAAGACCAATAAAAACAAAGGATTTATAGAAATGTTGGCCAACTGAAAAGTATGAACATGAAAAGTATGAGCATGTACAGCACTCAGTATTTAGTTGGGCCTCCTTTGGCCTGTATTACTGCAGCAATGCGGCGTGGCATGGAGTCGATCAGTCTGTGGCACTGCTCAGGTGTTATGATAGCCCAGGTTGCTCTATTAGTGGCTTTTAGCTCTTCTGAATTGTTGGGTCTGGTGTATTGCATCTTCTTCTTCACAATACCCCATAGATTTTCTATGGGGTTAAGGTCAGGAGAGTTTGCTGGCCAATTAAGAACAGGGATACCATGGTCCTTCAACCAGGTACTGGTAGCTTTGGCACTGTGTGCAGGTGCCAAGTCCTGTTGGAAAATGAAATCTGCATCTCCAAAAAGTTGGTCAGCTGCAGGAAGCATGAAGTGCTCTAAAACTTCCTGGTATGTGGCTGCGTTGACCCTGGACCTCAGAAAACACAATGGACCAACACCAGCAGATGACATGGCACCCCAAACCATCACTGACTGTGGAAACTTTACACTGGACTTCAAGCAACGTGGATGAAGTGCCTCTCTTCTTTTCCTCCAGACTCTGGGACCTTGATTTCCAAAGGAAATGCAAAATTTACTTTCATCAGAGAACATGACTTTGGACAACTCACCAGCAGTCCAGTCCTGTTTCTCTTTAGACGCTTCTGACGCTGTCTGTGGTTCAAGAGTGGCTTGACACAAGGAATGCGACAGCAGAAACCCATGTCTTTCATACGTCTGTGTGTGGTGGTTCTTGAAGCACTCACTCCAGCTGCAGTCCACTCTTTGTGAATCTCCCCCACATTTTTGAAGGGGTTTTGTTTCACAATCCTCTCCAGGGTGCGGTTATCTCTCTTGCTTGTACACTTTTTTCGACCACATCTTTTCCTTCCCTTCGCCTCTCTATTAATGTGCTTGGACACTGAGCTCTGTGAACAGCCAGCCTCTTTAGCGATGACCTTTTGTGTCTTGCCCTCCTTGTGCAAGGTGTCGATGGTCGTCTTTTGGACAACTGTCAAGTCAGCAGTCTTCCCCATGATTGTGTAGCCTATAGAACTAGACTGAAAGACCATTTAAAGGCTTTTGCAGGTGGTTTGAGTTAATTAGCTGATTAGAGTGTGGTACCAGGGGCCATCAATTTTGAACCTTTTCACAATATTCTAATTTTCTGATATGATGAATTTGAGATTTTCATTTGTTGTCATTTGTAATCATCAAAATTAAACAAAATAAACATCTGAAATATATGAGTTTGTATGTAATGTATGAATATAATATACAAGTTTCACTTTTTAAATGGAATTACTGAAATCAATCTACTTTTTCATGATATTCTAATTTTATGACCAGCACCTGTATATTTTTTCCTTTTTTTCTGTTGAAGAGGTTCTATTTATTTTTTCTATATAATTTTAAAATGTTCATGTTTCATTTTACTGCAATGGACTGGCAACCTTTTCAGGGTGTACCCCGCCTCTCGCCCGTAGACAGTTGGAGATAGGCACCAGCACTCCGCTGATACCTATTCCCCCGGGATAAGTGTGTAAGAAAATGGATGGATTTTCATTTTAATCAGCTCTCTAGCTTTACATTTATTATGATACTTATTCTGCATAATTTTTATCAGTATGAAAAAAAAAAATATCTGTGAAAAATAGCAGCCTCAAAACAGGAACACATGTGTTCACATCTGATGCTCATGAAAAACCTTAATAAGATAAAAGGAAAAATACAGACCAAATAGTCTTTGCTTTTAAAACAATAATAAATTAGGACTGCACACACTGCTGGTCTGCAGGTCACCACAGAACATATCTAAAATGTAAAAACTACTGCAGTACTTTATGGAAATATATAGGAATGTGATATATTATGGATAAATGTCAGCATCCTCTCCAGAAGATTGTGCAAGACATACTGCAACAAAAGATCCTTCGAGCCTAAAGCTATCAACACGTACAACAGATGTTTTTGTTCATTTTTCAATTTATTTAACTTTTTGTTACCATTTTCACTATCTGCTTACAAAAAACATATATAAACAACTTGCATTAGAATGTACACAAAACAGGATTCATGAAGTATTTTTAATTAAATCGCACTTTATTGAATATTAAGCTTTCATTTGACCTCTATGTGTATTTTCACTGAGGTATCTGCGGTGTAATGACTCAACTCTCTGCTCTTGATTCTGTTTCCTTTATCAGATCTGCAAGGCAATGCTTGACCCCATCCTGCAGTTTTAAACTACATCAATAACCAAAGAAACCCCTTCTGCCTTCTTCTACCCGCACTCACCTGATTCTGTCCGGCACTCGATGGGTCTGGTTTCCATCACTTTGGCAGTTCCCTGCATATTGGGTTCGACTGTTTGACCCTTGGTCCCTCCGCAGAGCCATCGCCCCATGAGTGAGCACAGACACTCCCTTGGCAATACGTCTGCAGGATCAACAAGAGAAGAGTTTAAGCCAGAGATAATAGGACATTTCAAATGTCTTCTATGACACTGCCGTGCACAACAGGAAAGGAAACTGACTAAGCAAGAGTAATAAAAGGAAAAAAAAAAAACTACACCTCTATACGGTGTAAATTACAATAATACTTCTTTAATATAACCCGGATTACAAATGATTGATGGCGTGCATCTCCTTTATCTAAATATGTCTGTTTCAGCATAACTTGTCACTTATCTTCAGTTTGTACATTTTGTAGAAATGTGGTAAAGAAAACATTTAGGCAAAAAGACATTTTGCTGAAAGAGGTTAGAAAAAAAAGACAAATTAAATCAACACTTTCTGATGATTTACCACAGATAATAATTTATTTGAGGGTTGTTGTAAATGCATTTGTAATTCGCTATGCAGATAATAGTATTCATCTTTATTTTATTTACTTTTTATTTTGCAGTAAGAAAAAGCTATTTTTTTATGGGTATGTGAGGTGCTGTATTAAAAGAACAGTATTGCCATTGCACAGTCATCACATCCTGAATTCTGTTTGATCTACCAAGGCATCAGTCAAGTTTGTCTTGATGTGAAAACATGTCTCAGATGGCAGATCTCTGATGGAGTGCTGGATGGGAGAGAGCAGCTGCTCTCCACAGATTTTTCCTGAGCTGCTCTGCTTTGTGAAGCAGCTTCTAATGTAAAATTGATACATTCTATATACTGTAGATGTATAGCGACAATTAACAACCAGCTAAGAAAAATGCAATTCAAACAAAAAATATATATAAAATTAAACGTGATGATTAACAGCCTATTTATATGGGGGTTTATATTGTTAAAGATCATTTTGGTGTGACTTAAGACTCTTAAGGTAGATTAATAGATCAGTGTTACATTGGAGTCCTGTACATGCTAAAATCTGTATTTTCAACAAAAAACCTGTCCTGCAGGACGTCAACATGCATGAGGATATTTTTACAAAAAAAATTAATACTGAAGATTCTTATATAGTCACAGCCCCTCATACAGACTTTCAGCATTAGCACCATAGTCCTGCTAATCAAACATCTTGTAGGTAATTAAAGGCCCTTAAATATTTCCATCACATTTTACAAGATCCCAGTTACTCTTAATGTATGTTACGGCAAAAAATAAGGACAATTTAAAATTGGATTTTGTTGCAATTATTCAGCAAAAAAGATCTGATCTTAATTTGATTTGATAAAAGTATTCCGTAAAAGTTCAAAAAATATCCACTGGACTTGGTTTCCAAGATTTAAAGACGTGTCGCCACCTCTCCAGGACGCTTTCTCAATTCAAATATTAAATCTCGGAAACCAAGTCCAGTGGATATTTTTTAAACTTTTACGGAATAACTATGACCTGGATGACTGAGAATCTTCATCAGCACTTTGATGAAAGTAGTTGGAACGGTTTACCTGGATGTAATAAAGGATGTTGACACTTAATTACAAACACTTTCAATTTTCATATGTCAGTAATTTGTAAACAATAGATATTGATCGTCAATGGCAGTTCATTGTTTTGCTTAAATAATGTAGCGTTCACTTAAAGCTTAAGTTCGGGTCAACTAAAAAGATTTAGGATACTTGCATTGTAAAGCAATCTAAAGCATGAGAGCTTCAAAGTGCACTTATTCGGTTCACTTATTCAATTAGATTATTTTTGAAGTCTGCTAATTGCTCTGGATCTTACTCATCAAAGTGATTTGGACTGGATACATATTCATGCTGCATCAATTAAACTTGAATTTGTTAAAGAAATAAAGAAAATATATATTATAGAGTTTTTTATTACAACGAGGCAAAATAAAAAACATTTTAAAATGTCTAAATATTTTTTACAAGGAACTGTAGGTGGAACTATTATATATCTTATAAAAAGATATGAAAAAAAATGATCCTGATGAGAGAAGTACTTCCTAATGGATGAAGTTATGCTGGGCGAAGGCAGTGGTAATCGTCAAAACACCCAGCAGTGATGTGTGTGATATAATGGCTGATTATAAATAAATAAAATTTAGATTGAAATCACACAGAGGAAACACAAAATACTACAGCAAAGGTGGGTTCTAAATTTATGCATGTGCCCAGTAAATAAAAATATCTAGGTTTCTGTGAAAAATATTAATAGCTCCTTCTTTGATCTGCAGGAATCTTTAAAGAAGCGAAAGGCTCTTTGAGATGACAATAAAAAAAGCAATAATTTCTTGTGTCCCATTTGACATGAAGCTGACAATAAAAATAGAAACATACAACGAAGAAAACAAAGCAGAGTAAAACAAACAAAAAAACAAAAGTTATGTTCAATGAATGGCTTTTTTCACCCAGCCATTGAAAATCTACAGGGAATAAGAATGAGAAACTGAAAAAATGTAACAGGGCAAGAGTTCAACAGAATAAAAATGTGACTGTCACCATCCTACCGGCTGTGGATTTTTAGGGTGTTTCAGCATAACCCTGAATATTGCAATGAGTCAGTGGATGTTCCACAGCCATTTCTGGTAGGAAAGTCAATAAAACATCAAACAAAAAAAACCAATGAGAAGCTACGCAAACAAATTCAAAACTTATTTGAATATATTACGAAATGGGAAATAATTCCGAATGAGAATTAGAGAAAATGTTTAAATCAATAATAGTTTGAGAACATGAACGAGTATAAAATAAAGAAATAAAAAACACATTACTATTCAGTTATGACTAAAACTGCTTGACTAGTATAAAAGCAGAAGGCATAAAAACGCACATATAAGCAAAAAGTAAGCGAAAGAGTTGCAAAAAAGCTCTCAGCTTGTTCCTCCTGCTCCCATTTCAACAGAAACAGATCATTTCCTTTTGCATGTTCTGTTGGAATCCTTTCTGATTGTACTGGAAGGAAAAGTGATGAAGCTAGGATAAATGAAAATCTTATCTCGCAGGGTTTGATGTTTTCAATCAGCTTAAAAAGCGATGACAATTCCATTTTACACGTGACTCGAAATAACTGTTTAGCTCTGGGGGAAATTCTAAACTCTGCAAAAAACGTGCAACTTGAATGTGTTCGGGAAACATCGGATACACATCCCAATTATGACTTGGAGAAAATATCTGTTAAGATTCTGCAGCAGGCGTAATGCATTGCAGCTAAAGGAGGCCCTTTAAGGTCAAAACTGACTCTGATTAATTTCAACCATTAAACTCTAACACTCTATATTTCACACTTGGTTTTAATACCAAACAACTTAATAAACAAATGTATTTAAAATCCAATTTTGTTATTTATGTCCTCTAGTTGTATCATACAAAGTGAAACTGACACTTTAGACAGACGTAGTCTTCCATGCAGTAAACATAAATACTCAATGAAACGGATAAAGGGGCTGGTTGCAGTTATATTATTTCTCAGCCATGTCAGTAATTATTAGGTTCATGAAGTTAAAGATACTGGTAAAGGAAATTTAAACATATTTACTCATAGAATGACCAATTCAATTCAGTTTATTTTTATAGCGCCAATTCACAACACGTCATCTCAAGGCACTTTACAGAGACAATTCAACCAGATCATATATTCCAACTGATTCAGTTTTCTATGTAAGGAAAACCCCCTAATTGCATTGAATCATTGACTCGAAGACAATCCCTCACACCAAACTTGCTTGTAGCGACAGTAAGGAGGAAAAATTCCCTTTTAAGAGGAAGAAACCTCAAGTAGAACCAGGCTCCATGTGAGCGGTCATATGCCGAGGCCGACTGGGGCCTGGGGTGAACAATAACTTCATATCACACTAATCAAAATGTAAAGTCCATTTCTGGTATTTTATGGCTGTTCTGTGAGAAAGGATGGACAAAAATTCTCAAAACACCATCTTGAAAATGGATTAGTTTAATCATTTGGGTAGTTACTTTATTGGTTGATTAATATTTACATCATGATTCAATGTCACAAAACTTGTTTTGGGGTACATTTTTTTATTTTCCATCCAATAAGCCTTATTTTGCAGTAATTGTAAAGATCAAATATAGGACTTACAGATATTGGTCCATGTGGACAAACCATTTTGGAAATACTCTTAAAGATGTGGGAGAGAAAGTGAAAAAATCTTCTCCCTCTACTAAAGAAAAGTGCTTATTCTCCAACACTTTTTCCTGTGCACCATCAGCTAGCTATAAGAAAACTATTTTCATCAGAAATAAGCATCTTCTAATGATTTCCAGGCTAGAAAAAGCACATTTTGAAGACCAAATCGGGGTAAAAATATTGTAGCGTAAAATGTTAGGATGTTATAATTTCCCATGGTCCTTGAAGGTGTGGAGCGAGTAAGAACAGCGTAATGGAAGAAATGTTTATTAATTTTTTTCTAGAAAGAGCCGCTGTTTTTTTTCAGCAACTGAGATTAAGAGTTTTAGTTTTTGGGTTTGTTCTGTAAGGTGGCTGGTCTGCAGTCGTTGGCGTGGTTACGGCCTACAGTAACCCATCCTGTTACAATAAAGCTACTGTTGCCATATCCCGCGCTGTCATTTGGCAGATGTTACAACATTAACCTTAACAAGGAAATTTATCTCTTTCTTTTTTAGAAAAAGAACAAATTTAAATAATCATTTCAACTCAGCTGCTGGGCCCTATCAAACATTTAAAGGAAGACATCTTTGTTTATCAAACGCCTTTAGGTCTGCTGCCTCTGTCTTGTAACATCTGTGTATTAGAATGAATGGGCATGTTATGCATGGCTGTGACAACTTTGTTGCTCTCTTGGGTTTTGCGTTGAGCGTGTGCAAACATTTTTCAGGCATTAAAATCTGATGAAAGCAAAGTGTAGCTTGTCAGGGTGAAAAGGGATTCTAAAGCTCAGTAGATTTAAATGGCTTGTAAGGCTTAAAATGACTTGACACATTTCAATGGAAATTTATCCTGGACAGATGTGCTTTGTTTTTGTTTTTTTTTGTTTTTGTTTTTTTCCAATTTCATCAATTAATGCTAATTGGAATGAGGGTTCACCGAGAAATACTAATCTCCAGGTGAGATGACCAATGTAAATGTCTTTTTTTTTTTTTATTGGATTTGTCACACTAAGTCAATCAATTATTCAAGTAGAAAAATCGAGATAAAAATCTCTGTAAAATTACATCAATCCTGCAGAGGATGCATCATGCATGCCTTAAAACAGGTTTGTGTACCTCTGAATGTTGAAGTAGCAAAACAACATGGATTCACAAAAAGTGTTTCTGCAGTATAAAAAAAGAGTGTTTATTTTCTTACTGATCCTCATGCATTTTTCAAATCACCAAGTTGGGTTTTAGTGAAGGCTTAGGAGTGCAGGACTTTCCTAATCCTTGTAAATTCTTCATTCAATGAGGGAAATAAACTTACTTTTAAATAAAGGAGAACTTCCTGCAATAGAATAAGTCAGGCATTACAACAACGCTTTTTTGTGTAATATTCTAGTCCATAAAATGTCAAGAAGCAATTGTAAAAATGTACGAGGCCATTTTTTTCCATGTCCAAAGAAAGGTTTATCTGCAAAGAATCACTAACAACGAATAAAGTAATTAGACAGACAGCTGTCTTGCTGTGTTATAAGGGTCCAAACATTATAAAGATAAGAGTATTTTGTGAAACACTGAAAACATAATATAATTTTTAATATATGTGTTTCTTTTAATACATCTGGTCCTGAATAACTGAAAGTGAAGTAAACAACGAATCTGATTTTTTCTTTGTTTAGGATCATCTGATGGCCCATTGCTCTTTAGGAAAATGGTGAAAAGAAAAATTAATCTGTCAGTTTTCTCTTGAATTTATTTTACTGCTGTGAGATTTGCTTCACATTCACAGGAGATTTGCATGACAAGATAAATCTGGTTTGGACGTGAAAATGTGAGGTGAGACACTAGATCTGTGTGAAAGGCAGAGCTGACCAGGAGGAATGAGTTTGCATTAATCTCACCTTGTTAGAAAGTTAGTTAAAAACCAAATATGACCTATGGGGAATCGGCTGCTTGGCTCATACCTGCGTGGCTCGTCCCTCCAGCCCTGAGGCCTGATGGCAAACAAGGCTTTTGGCAGTCCTTCCAAGCCCAATCCAGACAGGGCAGGTCCCACGACAAACCACATGTGACTTGGGCCGGCCTGTCCTGCTGCCCAGGCTGCCCGAAAAATCATCTCAGCCTCTTCCAGAGAGGAGTACAGCAGACGGACCTGGCAGAGGATTATAGGACAAAGACGTTCAGGTGGCGGTTATAAACCAAGGAGATAATAGAGTGTAGCACCAATTTAGATTAAACACTTTGATGGATGCAGAGCAAAGACACACAGATAAAGATCACATTTTTAATCCTTACAGTTTTTCACTTGGTTCCATGACCTTCCATACTCTATTCAGCATTGTGCAGGATATTAATTTGTTAATATGTTATATAGCGTAGCAGATTTGTACTTAATGTTAAATGCTTTACAAATAAGAAGTTCCACTTCAAAAAAATTAGGAATCTTGTTCTGATTGCATTTTTATTTTCTATTCATACGCCATCAACAAGAGGAAGACAAATTAATCAGTCTGTGTGTTTGTGCCTTTCTTGGCATCAGAGTGAGGACCACTTCCCTGAACTCACCATCTCTTGTGCCAAAGAGAGGATATTTTGATGGTGCTCGCTTTCTTTTTTGCTAACCCTTGCATTAAGCACTGGTAATGTTTAGGGTTAGGGTTATTGCCCTGGTTTGGGCATAGAAAGGCTTGAATTGACAGAAAATGAATGGAAGATGTGGTTCTCACTACATATAGCAAGATGAGAATGTGTGTGTGAGAGGCTAGGGGGGTTATAAGAGTCCTTCAGATGATTGCTCAGAGGAAGCACTTTGGGAAAATGTGTGCCACCATTTCGGAAGACAATAAGTGAACATATAAAAACTCCAATCAGTCAACACTGGAATATGGAAGAACAGCAGCAATACCAGCAGGCGTGTGGCGTTATAATCACATGCTGAATGTTAACTGCTGTGACTGTCGTCAGAGAAGATGGCCAGATGACGCCGATCCTCCTACTCAGCCGACAGAGGACCAGTTCAAGGTTGGCATGAGGTCTACGCAGACGTTCAATCCCCATCTATCACACCACCTCAGCAGTCAGCATATAGACAGACTCATTTACATAGAAAATCCATATTTCTGATGGGGGGAAAAAAAATGTCTTGGCCTTGTTTTACTCTTAAAAATTGTTGTTTTGCTTTGATGCTTGAATCAAGATGTTTCCAAACAAGCAATACATATAAACCACCATTCACTCCAGCAGTTTGTTAGACCTTGTACAGCTTCGCATTTTTATAATGATGGACACCTAATTTGGTTTTTAATTAGAGTCCTCATGGGTTTTCAGGTCCGTGTTTGTCAGAGCTTAGCTGCTTTAATACAAATGAAATTAAATGAATCTTTAATCCACACACCATACGTGCACCACCTAGGCTGTGATATAATTCTGTGATGGTAATACTAGGGCTTTGTTATTTGAATTTTAACATTTATAAAGTGAAAAAAACTTTTAAAGTACTTTAAATCTAGATAAATGTAATTCATTTGTTTGTGTTAAGGAAACACATTATTGTACCATTTGAAAATAGTAATAAATCAATAACATAATGGTCACTATCTATAAGAATCTTCTCTAAAAGATTAGACAAAGTTGTGTGGGATACATTAATGTATAACAGAGTAATTCCAACATTCCTGGGGCTAATTCCAATAAGGAGTGAAAATTGTTTTACAAAAAAGAAATGCATGTGCAATAAATGGGATTATCGTGGGTAATTTGCCTTATTTGAATGAGTAAATTGCATGTGCTGCTGGCAGTTTAAGAGTGGACTTTAAAAAAAGAAAGGCATGTCATGGATGATAAGTGGAGCATAGGAACTCAATGCTGCTTCTACGTGTTTGGTTCTAGCTCGGGTTTGAACTAGAAGACCTGAGTGCTCTGGGAGGTTGATACACTGACAGCAGATCTGTTTTGTATTTAGTTGCTGATCCATTCAGTGATTCTAGATCCTGCTTGGACTTTAGTCCTTTAATCCTGGAGATGTTCTTCGGGTGATAAAAGGCTGATTTAGTCTCTCTATAATCTGTCATACAACCAATGCCCGGTCAGCCAGTCTGTTACGACGTATACCCGGCATATGAGTCTGGTAAAGCTTTTTCAAAGGGGGGACTAACCTCATCAGGTTAGAACCGATTAAATAACTACCGTGATGCAAACACTCTCATCAACATGCTCTTTTTTTTGTAACTTTGCAGTCTGTGAAACTTGTCAAGCCATCGAAGAAACTCTCTTTCTGCTGGTTATGCCTCAAACATCTGAGGATATAAGGTTTGCTGTCAAGTACATTGTTAATTTTCATTGCTCCTTTGGAGTCACCAGCTTGTTGTGACGGTAGCAGAAATGTAGTGCTGCATTATGAGTAGATTTGGTGCTGAGAGTCATCCATTGTAAAGTCTTGCCTCCTGCGCTGTGATTGGTCCGGACATATCTGGTTGGACTCAAGAGTTGTTTACCGGACTGAATTAGGCTCATGTACTTCAGTCTGGCTGGCCTACAAATGCCTTCTTTGTGGCCACAATGACCACAGACATGTTTGATTGTGAGTTTGAATTTCACTTTCAAACACACTTAAAATAGATGTGCATACAATTAGTTTCAGGTTGATAAATCACTGTGTGGGTTTTGAAGTATTTGGATTAGCAAATCCTCCACCCCTGAATGTGTGCTGTCTGCACACTAAAATATAATCTACAAATATTAACAATGGCACAAACATTAAAATGTTTGCCACAAACACAGTTAAGCTCAATTTAGACCCAAAGTGTGGTAATGTGGCCCTTTTTTTTAAGTTTATTGCATGTTTTCTAATTTTGGATTTTCTTTATTTTGAACTTGTCTGCTTGTTTTCAATTTTGTGTGTTGCATGTTTTTTCGGATTTTGTTTGGAGGCCACATTGCCACACACACCTGGACACGCCCACAACGGCACAGGTGTCCCCAATCAACTAAGCAGCGTGCCGACTGGGACGCTGATTTAAAAAAGGCAGCTGCTTGGTTGGTGAGACAGACACCGGACATGGGAAGGTTTGGTTGGGGAAGGCCGATCTTGGAGGGAGCCGGACGGAGCGAGTGAGAGGGAAGCAGCGGGAGAGCCTTGGGGACTGACGGCAGGAGGCCCGCCGGAGCGAGGTGGAGAGACGCGCACCGGAGAGAGAGACGCGCACCGGAGCAAGGTGCAAGGACGCACGCCGGAGAGACGCGCACCGGAGCGGGGTGCAGAGAGGCCCGTCATGGAGCGAGGCGCAGAGGCACGCTGGCGAGAGGCGCGTGTTGGAGGAGACCTCGCAGGCCAGCTACGCTGGGGAGGCCCACACGCGCAGCGTGCCGAAACGAGGACCCAGCGCTGGGGTGGACGGTGCCCTCCATTATACCCGCCAAGTGCGCGTCTTTTAACAGACTTGCCCAATGACTCTGCTGATCTCCACCATCTGGATTTTTATCTTTCTTTTTAATCTTTTATCTTTCTTTTTAACCCTTTTCCTTTTAACTTATCTTTTTATCTCTTTTTTATTGGATTTTAACCAATTAAACTTTTTAGAGCCCTGCTCACAATCGCCGCAGTCTGTTTGGTTTTTATGGTTGTTTTATTTAAGACGATCGCACCTCTCGGGTGCCACAAAAGTACAAATTGTATCTTTTTTTTAAGTTCAGCTTTCTCCATGAAAACCAGTTTGCACATGTTAAGACATTTTTTATTTTTACTTTTGGCTATCAACAGAATCTAATATAGTTTTACTATAAATGATGACACACATCTGTGGTCCAATCAGTGAACCCGTCTTCACTGATGTTGCGTCATTTAGCCAAAAGTTATGTCAATTTGGTTTGCTCAACTTATCACTGGATTCTTCTTTTTCCAATTTGTATCTTGACATCATTACAAAAACAAAACAAGAAAATCAATATTTTAAAAGCCTAAAATACTTTAAGATTTTATATTAAGCCTAATTGAATGCCACTACCCCAGAAAATGTGTGCTAGTATAAACATGTTTAGAAGCCTTCTCGATGTGTTACTTAACTAACATTAGGTAAGCTATAGGCTTCTAGCATTTAAATAAAAAGGAAGACAATGTTTGAAAAGCATTTCACAGCTTGTTTCTTTCTAAAATATTTGATTTGTCGTTTATTTTGTGTTCTTTAATGATAACCTTGAATGAGGCATGCAGAAGGAAACAGCATGGCTGCTGCATTTCTTACCAGTCACAGCACTGAGATACAAATCATCAAGCAATGCGTGCCATATGCTAATTAGCAACGGCAGGCTTTGAAATAAAACAAATGGCGCATGCAGCGCTAAACCCTCCTGAGTGCCTCAGATTATGCATAGAACACGTAACATCAATAATTTCATATTAGCAGGGTTTTCAGAGGTTAAGGCCTGTTTATGTTTTTTAGAGACATGAATTTTCTACGGGTGAAGCAATGAAAGCTAATTCTAACTTGAGGTGCGCTTGAAAAAGACTCATCGGATCACAATTTGTAACACTACGAGATTTACATACACAGTGAAAGAAACAAAGTAAAAAAGTAAAAGGTGTCAAAACACAATGTTTTAAGAAGACTTTGCTTAATCGCTCGGTAAGAAAGAGATCTTTTTACTTTTGAATCAGATCAGAGGATTCAAATAAAATCAATCATCCTAAGTACTAAGTGTGTTACAAAGAGTTAAATCAGAGAAAACTGAAAACATTTGTGTTTAGCTGTTAGAGGACCTGCCCATTCTGCTCTGAAACAAAAAAATTCACAGAACAGACAAATTATCTAGCTTTTAATAAAAAAATACGGAATCAGTATGTTATTGCAAATTGAAAAATTATGTAAATGTTAGCTTGCATAAGGAACCAAAACAGAGAGAAAAAAAACTAATTTGACTTTATCAGATTACGGCTTCCTGTAATATGGTTGGGAAAACCAGCAGTAGGTCTTCTTTATGAGAACACAAGTTCTTAGGTTATGGTTTCTTAAATAGATTTCCTCTGAGAGAGAATAAATATTATTTATTATATGTGCATAGTTCTATCAAAGATTTTAAGCCATTTATTACCTGCCAGGAATGTTATAACCAAAGAATTTGTTTATCAGTATAACTGTTTTTTCCTACACTGTTTAAGTTTTTGCTAAACAAGATCAAACACTTGAAAGGGATTTTATTTTATTTTATTTTATTCATTACAACTAAATAATGGACTGCTGGGCATGTATGAAAAAAAAATAAAAAATCTGCAAAACTTACAGTGATTAGAAAACAACATGCAGATGTAAAGAACTCACTCCTAATTTTGCATCACACTGCAGCCTCTCCTCAGCCACCAAAGCAGCAGGCATACATATTCACCAAGAGATCAATAGATCAAGGTATTTTACCCAGAAGAGCAGATTTGTGTATCAGGATCAAACACCTTCTGACTGCTGTTTCTGATTTTAATGTCTGGTTATTGCAGCACTATGAATTATGAAAGAGAGTGCAATGATTCATCTCTTAAACCCATTCACTCATGAATAAAAAAAAAGATTAAAGTAGAGCTATGGTATTTATCAATCCAATCCAAGGTCTTAGCTCAGGATCTTCAACAAGCTTTTTTTTATTTATTGATATGGGAGACCTGATTAAACTAATCTTCCACTGTTATTTGAAAGTGTTTATGATAAACCTTCTCTGACTCAGCATTATGGCCAAAATGTTGATAGGCATTATTAAAATATTCATCATTCATCAAGTTGCAGGGAAAATATTTGACTGATTGAAAAGTTTATTAGAAGTTTATTAGAATTTCAAGTGTTTTGGCCACCATAACAATGTAAATTGTCAGGTTGTCAGAGATCCAGAGTGGCAGTCTGTCGGATTGGGGCTCAAACTCAGAACCTCAGGATTCCAAGCTTTATGCCCTAACCACTCCCCCTTAGGGATCAATATGGATGCTGGAGAAACTTTAAATAGAGGGAAGCAAACAGGATATATTCTCTTGTGGCATACATGTTTTTATATGCATGTGCCTGGCATTGGTGGGTTTATGATGCAATGATGCTCTTTTTCTGCTGGATTATGGTTTCAGTGTTGCTCACTGAACCACTGCATTTTTTGTGTTGTTTCATTTCATTTACCACTTGTACCAGTCTGTTACTGTTATATTGTTTTTTGTATTTTTTTTAGATGTAAGAATGGTTATTTAGCTTCCTTTAAAGGAAGTTGGCATTGAACAAGCCTATCCACCACTTTCCCTTCACCATGAGATAGAAACAGATAAGCAAACACTTGTTTCCACACTTTAGCAGCAGCATTTAGCACAAATGGCTTTGTGACTTTCACCAAGATGCCTTTATTATCTCCCTCTATTACCCTCTTGATAAGGGTGTCATTGTTCTTGTTAAGCAAAGAGAGGGGCAAAAAATTTTTTCAATATATGAATCTGAACTGGATTTTCCTTGTCATAACCCTTTGTGATGCTGTGCATGCTTCACTTTGAAAAAGCAATGTTTTCTCCATATATATTTTGGACAGGTGACAATGGCATCACCTGTTGACCTCATAGGCTTCACTTTTGACAATAAAAGTTTTTAAAGTAGAGTTTAAAGTAGGTTTGCCTTATAAATTCTATAATACCACTCACCCACAACCCCATCATTTTATGCAATAAACTGATCTCACTTGCCTACCTTCTCATACTAAGACCGAGAAGTCAATGATATAAGTATTCTTTTTGCAAATCGACATTAGATGACTAAAAATAAATTAGGTCATCCACCAATTGAGGCTGCTGGTGAGCATTCGGTATAAATGCAAGCAGGATATCCGAGGACGTGGGTTTTCATTCAGTCGTTGAAAAAGGCTAAATTCAAATGGATGATGCTGACACAGGGACAGTAAGACAACACCCTGAGGGCAAGAGAGGCCATAGAGGCAGAAAAAGGATAGGCATATTTTTGGAGAGCTTCCTAAAGTGTGACCTCTCCATCATGGAGCATTTTTCCCTCTGTTATTGTTATTAAGTAGTGGACTTTCTGAGAGAGGAGAAACCAAGAATAAAACTTTTCTTGGTTGCTGCAGCAAAATTTGTTAGGGCAAATATTTAGTAGAGTTTCAGCTGCAGCTGTTTGCCTTTCTCAGTTTGACTCTTTCACACTTCTGAATAATAATTTGAAAAAGAATAGAAAGGAAAGGAACAGCATTTGTCTTTAAATTGATGTCCCATTTAACGTCACAAGGTAAGATGCATAATGTTCTCCACTTGCTCGATCTGCCCTTGCTTTCACTCATTTCTTTTCAGAGCCTTATTTTAACAAAGGTCATGTTGTTACCACAGCCAAAATTAGAGCAAAAAAATGTTAAAGCATAAAAGGAAGACATCTTCTTGTTAACCTTACTCATGCAAAGAGATGAGGGGTAAAAAGAAGTTTCATCCTAACATCTCTACCTTCAAGTTATGAATAAAACAAAGTTACACTTGGGCATTATGTTTTCATCTTTACTACCTAGCTCCTCTTAAGCTGCCTTAATCTGAGCAGGTTGCTGATCAAGCCCGCCGACAGGCAGGACAAAGCAGAGAGAAGGGCCCAAAATTGACAATCTGACCATTAAAAATACAGGCAGAAGTAATTTTACATAAAATAACTGAGAAACAAATATTTTATATTAGAGTAACTGAATATATAAATATATCCACATTGGCTATACTGTATATAATATAGTTTCTTTAAATAATAGGCCATTATAACTCCCTCCACCCAACATAAAATGGTTTGACCAGGACAATGGCGGGCTGCAACTTTTAAAGTTTGTTTCACTGCAACCTAAGATTGTAAGGTTTTCAGAAGTGTAGCGCACAGAAAAAAAGAGAAAAAGGGAAGATGACCCCAAAGGCTTGAGGGATTTTAGGAGTAAATATTAAGAATAAACTGAGGATGAATCAGGAACAGGTCAAGGAACAGAATTGCAGAAGAATGAAGTCCATTCAGAGGACTGTAAGAAGCAATCTTTTAATTGTAGTGTTTTAATTTATAGCATCTGTTAGCTTAGTGCCATTAGAGCAGAGAGATGGCAGAGGTCTAGAAGCAGTGTGAAAGACAGGGCAGAGCAGGAGAGCCAGCTGAGGCGTCGCAGCTTCAGGTGGCAGGGGGAGGGTGTGTTTGAGGAGAAGACAGGGAGAGCCATCCCTGTCGAAATGCAGTGCAGGTGGAGGGGCTTCCTGCCCGAGCAGAGAGTCTGAGCATAGTGTCTCAGAGACGGATCACGAGTTAATTTAAATGATCCTGCGCTGTGCGCAACAAAAATGACAATTTCTGATTGAGTGAATGTTTGTAATGGCAAAAAAGGAAGCCTTTATCAGAGATTGCAGATAAGATGCCAGAATATTCAGAGGGCAGAGAATTCCCAAAGTATCTAACCTATTCTACCTCTCACAAGGAAGGGAATTGTTAGGGACTGGCTAATATACAGCAGGTCAAAAAAGGCCACATTTTACCTGCCGTGCTTACTGTTCTCCTATGAGTAGAGAAAAAAATCAACTAGTTTACTAAACTCAATAGATTAGATGAAAATGTAAAACATAAAATACAGAAAACTGTGTACACAAACATTGTTATTGGAAATGGAAGAACCTGCTTCATATTTTCCTATCTCTACCTGTAACTCGCTGGGGATGAGCAGGCCTTCAGTTAAATGAAGATAGTAAAAAACCTTCTGGGCTCTAGGATGTCCCAGGAAAGGTTCAATAGTCTGGCAATGCTTACTATATATAGGGCCCTCAGAGTGAGGACCATTTTTCCATTTGGTGTAGAGGGGGGCCCAAAAAGACTGTGTTGTCCTGGGCCCCAGTAAAGATGTCAGCTTGCCTAATGCTGAGCATACATACTCTCCAATAAATGACAAGTGTTTTTAATTAAAAGTAATTTTTATTTAATGTGCTTTACTGGAGGCAGCCATGTTTGTCAAAGAACACTACTGTCACCTATCGGTTTGTGACGTCACGGTGCGGTATCGGCGGTTGACCAAGTCTCACTGCTGTATCTGGTGCGTTATCGTCCAAGTCATCTTGAAAACATTTTTCTTTGAAATGTTGGCAACATTTACATGTTTTTTCTCTGGCCAAAAATGTAATGTCAAATCCTCCCTCTTCATATTGGCAATCAAACGACGAAAGGTGAAATAACAAATTCTCTTTTCACCTTTACCCAATGTATTACAACATTCAACTGCCATGCACGTGGGCATTGTCACTTTAACTACAGTTCTAGTGAATTTCAACGGTGAAGTCCTCTTGAAAACTTCAATAACTTGTTGATTGCAGATGTGTCTAGTAGCTCCCATTGATTTTGCTTGTAAAGCGGGGAGAATCGCGCTAGGCTTACCACACCCTGACGTCACTGCTTGAAGATGTCAGGAGTGAGGTGTTACAATATTTGGGGAAAAATGGCTGGTCCCAGACTCGGTGATCATAATTAAAATTATTGTTTTATTTTTTTACTGATTAATGCTAAATTCATTAAATCACAGCAAATGTATTAGTTTCAGATATAGATAATGATAATGATGATATTCCTTGCTGGCCGGACTTCTCCTTTAAATCAATTTTATTTTGAGAGCCTAGCAGTACTTAAATCTCAGCATAAATAACAGCTCTGTCAACACTGACACCTGTGTTTCTGACCACTCACCTGGGCTTCGTTGTCTTTGAGCACTCGCTTGGTTCTTGCCCCACCGGGGTCGTCTGTCACATTAAGAACCACCACGCTCTTCCTTTCCCAGCCAATGAACGAGCCATCCGTCATACCCTCCACCATGGCCAGGAAGTCCTCGTAGCCATGGTGACGGGTTGTAACAACAGAGAACGCCGTCCAGTCATATTCCTCCAGGACTTCAAAGATGACCTCGAGTTGGAGCATTGTGGAGCAAGTGAACTGAAGGTAGATTGAGCCGCTCTCCTGTTAGCAGAGAACAATTTTTGAAGCCAAACAATCAATTTGAATAATAAAAATACAGTTTATAAATATCAGAAAAGATATTACTTGCCCTGCAACTCCATGTACTTTATGTAGGCTGATATTTAGTATAAAGTACCATTCACTCATGCTGAACAAGTGTTGTATACAATGGAGCATATTCATAAAGAGGATCATCAGGCAGCATCAAACCATTCTCCTTTTTCTTAGAGCTCTTTCTGCTTTGCGTCTAATATCTTCAGGTTTTTCTAAGGGGGGGCTCAGAGGAATGAAGCAGTCTGTCATATCCGGCTTCAGCTTTTAAATAAAAGCTTTAACATGAATGTGAGAAACAGTGGTAGCCTCCCTCTGTGCCCTGCAGTCATTTTAATAACCATATGTGCATGAGCTACGCACAGTGTGACAAAGCTATCCATTTCTATCAGCCACTGTATTTTTGTCAACAGAAGAGGAAAGTTTTAAAATGGAAAAATCCATATTTACTGATGATTGGACTGAATGTAGGTTTGGACAGCAAAATAAAATAAGATTTTTATTTATTTATTTTATTCTGAGTGCTGCTTATTTTTTAGGTACTGCACAAATTAAAAACATTCTCCAGAAGCCAAGGGAATATCTGTAAATTAGTAATCATGGTTCTGCTTCTATGCTTTCTGCTTCTATGATATTGTCTGCTTCTATTTGCTAGCATAACAACCTGACAACCTCAACAGAGCAATACTGAGAGATCAGGGCTTATATCATCAGATTTTTTAAGTGGTTTTTAAAAACTGTGTGCCTGCTACTGTTTTTTTCTTCATATCCATACTGTAGTTATCTTATTGGTTCCAACCTGATGACACTGACCCTGTAAGTCCCGCCCTTAAAATCAAGCTGTACCAGCCCTTTACCAGACTGATAAGCTGTTTAGCCTATATATTATAAAAGTCTGGCTGGCCAGGCTAATGCATTGGTACAATGATAGATTATGAAGAGAGGTTGTTCAGATGTGAACACATTTGGACTGTTAGATATAACAGAAGTAGTATAATATGAGTGGGTATAAAGATGTGATGGGGGGATGGCTCAGATTAATGCAGCTCTAAATGCAATTACATTAAAATGAAATATACCATGACTAAGCTTTAATATTGTAGCAATGTTTACAAAAATAGAATATTACCATCAACCAACTTTAAATCAGAGAACAGATAAATCACATGAATAAATCACTGAAATATAAGTTTGTTTTTAGTTTTATTTTTTTCTGAGTGCTGCATTTCAAGTACTGCACAAAAAAAAAAAAAAAAAAACACCAGAAGCCAAGGGAATATCTGTAAATTAGTAATCATGGTTCTGCTTCTGTGCAGACATGCGGATGATCAAAGGGAAAAACCTCCAGGAATAATGTTCGATCCTCCATGGCATCAGACCTCACCTCCAGTCTCACTACACTGAAGTCAGTCAGCTAGCTAACTAGCAGTCTGACTCCAAATATAAGCTTATCTGCTTCTCAACCTGGCTGAGGGGGATCTGTAAAGGAAACATGCTAGGAGCAAGCTCTGCAGCTGAAGACTGGAGCATTAATCATGTTTCCGAGTTTCTCTTGAAGATGGAGCTAAAATGTGTTTACTAGCCCCATTAAGCTTACGAAAAACCATGAATGAGTGATGTCACATCCCAAGTCAACATTTTAGAAGACATGTTGCCACAAGGTTAACTGATTCAAGATGCGCTTTAAAAATTGGAAGAGATGGTGACCCATCATCCAGCCTTTGTGCTCACTGATCTTTTTTGGTTAAAGTCTAGCAACACAATTCCCATTCCTTCAGCTTTTCCATGTTTTAAAAACTTATTTTCACATCTGACGGACGAACAAAAGTAGTCAAAATGTGTGAAATGGAAGGAAATGTTATACAGAAATGTGGAGAGCATTTGAATTCAGTGTTCCTCACTTTGAAAGCGCTTTTCCTTCAGTAATGTCTCACTGTCGTACTAAATTAAATAAATGTATTTTGTTTTGGGCTTGGATAGCATCTCTTTAAAAGCGCTATTACAAACAACTCAGCCTGCTGGACATGTATCTAATTAGGATACAAAATCGTCTGTTCTTTGCATGATTACTATGCAGTCCATAATCCTTCCAAAACAAAATCACTATTAAATTAGTAAATGTTTAAAAAAAATCATAGACAAGTTATCTGTTTCTTTGTATTTAATTTTAGTAGGAATCGTTAAATTACAAAATAAGCTGATTTCCTTTTTTATTATTATTTCATCAACCAAAATAAATTAAACTGAAAAACAAGGCTTCTTGTATATCCATTGTTGGGGTCAAACTGAAAAACAAATAACAAATAAAACCCCACTTATTGCACACTGTTCAATCCATCATTCACAAATATTTAGTTGTTCAATACTTACTAACTGCAAATGACTGTTGACCTAAACTGATAGACCAGACTAGGAAAACATGACCAGTGAGGCAGAAAAGAGGCTAAAGTTATTTTAGGGGCCAGCAGAGATCCAAAGCTCAGGAGGACCAAAAAACAAAATCAGGTCCACAGTCCAGGGAATCTGGGCCTATAAGGGAGGGTCGCAAAGGAAAAAGCCATAAGAATATAGTTTTGCTGCAAGGCATGTCAGAAACAGCAAACATTTGGAAGTTGGTACTTTGGTGTCTTTGGACCAAACTGCCCTACAGTTAGATGTAAATAAAAAAACTACAGCTGTCCATTAAGCTGACAAAAACATGATTACGATGAAACATGGCAGAATGATGCTGTAATAATGCTTTGTTTCACCAAAGACAGGATAGACAGTTACAGGAAAGGATAAACAACGTTTAATGCTTGAAAAGGTTTTCTATTTTTGATTTCAAGGTTTGATTTTGATTGGCAATAACAAAAAGAAAAATATATATATTTATATCAGAGCATTGAGCGGAGTGGAGAGTGAAGCGAGTGGTAGACCGGAACGGAAGAAATATGATGGAGCGCAGAGCGGTTTTCAATTCATAGGCCAGAGCAAGGGTTTTGCTCTGCTCCAGTTAGCTCAGATGCGCTGACGTCAACTAAAAATGCTGGATTATAGAATTTGTAAAATGAAATTTATTTGATTTAAGTTTGAAATTTTCAACATGTTTTTGAATTGAAAAACAGTTGCAGGCACACTGTTTTTAATCCTTAAAAAAATATGTATTGCAAGCCACAGCCACTGACCCCGAGCCTGTTTTTGAAAATGGATCGCATACACACATTATACGTTATTATATAATTTGCAATAGGATGCGAGGTGACCTTTTTTAATGTAGTCTGTTAAAATAAATTAATAATTAAATAGGAAACGTGGGGCAACATGAATGGAGCGAGGTGTTACGTTCACAGCTGGGAAACAGTGCGATAATTTAACAACCAGTTAAATAAGACAATAACCATGTATCTGTCACATCATTAAATCACACACTGTGTCCCAGGGCCCTGGCATAATTACATGAAGGAAAAATGTCAGAATATGCCTTCTCATTACATCTAGTAGATGCACAGCTGGCAGAGACCTTCTGGATAGGATTTCGAGCTATAAGGAACAGTAGCTGAAAAAGGTACTTCAACAAAGTATTGTTTATGGTGTGGCTGAATACACGTCTGAATTATACTTTTCCCAAACAAACATCTGAAAGCATAATTTATATTACCTTTTTGGTGAAGCAATAGTTCATTGTGCCTTGTTGCAGAAGATTACAGTGAAATAAATTTAGGCTTATTCTTGTAATGTGACAAATTGTGAAAAAAGGAGGTTTTTACTTTGAAAAGCGATTGCAAATGATCCAACAGAGGAGCTGCCTTTCATTGTCAAAGGAAAAAGATTTTTCTTATCTGCCTTTTGGTTCTTTAAAAAAAAAAAATGTGTTTTTGTTTCTCTGAAAAATAGGAGACTGGCTTCCTATAGCTGGAGGTGATGTTATTTTTCTTGGCTGGTTGAAAAATCAAATAGCTTTTATTCATGAATTCTAATAGATTCTTTGTTTTTGTTGTTTTGTTGTTTTAAAAAAGGTTACAAATTGTATTTTTAACAGATAATGCAGAAAAGCATGATTCAGAAAGGGATCCTTTGTTTTATGTTTTTGTCTTTCTTTGTAAGAGCCCAGGGCCCCCAGGGGACTATGTGATGATGCCACTTTAGTCACTTTGATTTATCATTCATAGTAGCTATTATATCAGAAAACACAATGCAATGTAAATATATTTTTTGAGCACACTTAGCTGAAGATTTCCAATTTTTTATTACTTCTTATTTTAGATTTTTTCATTTATTTAAGGGTGAATCAACAGAAAAAGACTCTTAAACTGGCGGCTGGCCTGTGGAATCCAAAATGAATTAAATACCTACAATCCAGTATTTGAAAAAAAAATTGTGTATAGACAATGACTTGATATTATCAGTAGTTAAAATTGGTATAAAACAGTTGCGGAATGTTTTCTAAGGCTGCAGAGTGGGGCGGTTTGCAGCACTGCTGCCTTGCAGCAAGAACAATCTTGGTTCGATTCCCAGTCTGGTTTTTGTCTGCATGGAGTTTGCATGTTCTCCCCGTTAATACATGGATTTTCTCTGGATACTTCAGCTTCCACTCACAGTCCAGAAGGAAAAAGAACAAATAACTGCTAGGTATCTCTAAACTGTCCTTACGTCTGTGGTTATGGTTATGTCTCTGTGAGGCACTGCGAAGGACAGATTGCTGAATAAAGATACCAGTCCCCTCACATACAAGCAGTAGTAAATGAATGAGCAGATTTTACAGCAACCGATATGTTTGGTTATAATGCGGTGCTATTCATGGGATAACCAAGCATCTGAATGCAGTGGTCTAGTTTTTGAGATGAAGAAAAAAACGTTACATATTTCACTTAAGAATTCCAAAAGAAAGTCGAGCACCTGCACTTTTTCAAAGCAACTTCACCTCTTGTTTTAAACCAACATGTATTATCAATGATTATTTTAACATGCCAGCTGGTTTAGACCCAGGTAAACTGGATTAACTGTTACAGCAGCCAAGCAATGAAAAAAATATAACTCCATCTTGTAAAGGTGATCCGATTAAAACAATCTGCTGCACTTAATGAATTTACCTGTCATTGTTGAGCTGCTTTTTCAACTTATGCCCCCCAGGTAGATATTATACTCAGAATATCCACACTGAGCTCATTATTTGATTGATATTAGGCTAGTATTACAGCGCCCCCTAAAATCTAAGATTTATGTTTACTTGGGAACAGAATAGCATTTAATTTTTTCAACTGTTCTTGCAAATATTTAATACCAGGAGTATTTTGATGGAAAGGAAGGATATCAAGCTCTTACTTTAAATATTTTCTAATTGTTCCACCCTCAAAAACTCACTATATTATTGAAATAAGCTGTTCATTTTAAGGACATCAGATATCTTATTTGCATATAGAGTATGGTTTCTAAGCAACATAAAAGCAAGAATCTGTTTAATGCGACAGCAGAAAAATGCGGCATTCCATATTGTATTTCAAAGACTGTCCTTTCTTTGGTTCAGGAGAAAGAAATAAGGGTGGTGATGATGCAATGACAAGTAATTCATTTTTACCTGTGGCTCCCGTCCCAGACTGGCTCCTCCCCCGACGGCAACAACAGGAACCCCAGTCTGAGCAGAGACAAACTCAAGCATTGGGGCCAGAGGGGCGCGGTTTGGTGGCGGTGGTCTCTCCTCTTCAAACACCAAACCCTAAGTAAAACAAAGTTTGCTTTAGGTATGAAGCTATAAGAGATTAAATGAATGAGATACAAGAATGAAATACACCATGAGTGAGCTTTAATATTATAGCATGTTTACAAAAATAAAAATAGAATATTACCATCAACCAACTTTAAACCAGAGAACAGATAAATCACATGCAGGGTTCTTTGAAGGCTCCATTCTGGGGCCCCCTCCTATTCAATATTTACATGCTCATTTACCATAAATACACATACTGGGCGTGAATTTGTTGTATCACTCTGAAAGGCCTTGCTACACCCAAGCAGCTCCTAACTTGGCACACAAATACCGACTTATGTTATTGTTATGTATCTGGACCAATCACAATGTTTTACTTCATATTGCCAATGTTTAGTAGTACATATAGTGTTGTATACTGACTGTACCTGAATGCAGCATTTGTAGTTAGTTGGAAAACTGACTCAGATTGTAAATTTCTCCAACCTGCTGTATAGAGTTTAGGTTGATTGGATGTTGCTGTCTACTGCAACCATATGAATAAAACCATCAACACATTGTCCGCATTGCTGAGTGAATCATAAGTCGGTAGATTGCTAGCCATTCTTGCATACCTTGGGTGTGGAGTCCTTTAGCACTCCAAAAATGTGTATCTTTGATTGTTCCTTGTCACTGAACCCAACGAAGATCAGTTAAACTGCCTATGTCTGTTGACATCTGAAGGTGATGGGTCGTTACAATGAAAAGTCACCTATGCCTCATTGAATGGCTTGCGATATGTAAGGAGATAAAAATAAATATATAATGCTCAGAGGTGCAGAAAAATCGAATCGCTTTCAAATTAAATTGTAACAGATACTGCTTAAGTACTGTAGGCTGCTCAGTGGCGCAATGGGTAGCACTGCTGCCTTGACTGACTTGCAACTAACTTGCTCTGAGTTTTCAAAACTTTCAAATGCTGACTAAAGGTGGGAGTCATAAAAGAAAATTCTAGACTTCCACATGAAGCAAATAGTTTGCAGGTCTGACACATTTAGGGACTGATCTTCCAGAAAAAATACAATATTTCTTTTGATGATTTTTGATCATTTCATGTGTTTACTGTTGAGTAAGGACAAAGCTAACAAAATGGACTGCATGATGTTTTGCTAAAATGTCTGGGCTGTTCTTTATAACAAGAGAACAAGCTTGATTTCATTTTAAACAGATAAAAAGTTTATGTGTTTTGCATCAATTTGAATAAATTCAGATTGTTCTAAACTACTTAAAACCTCATTTGATCACATTGAGATTTTTTTTTAGATTAACTATAGTTTTCAAACACAAAATCCATGCTAAACTGTAATATCATTGCATAATCTCATCAGTTACAGTTTTCAACTATGCTTTCCTTCTTCTTTGTGTACAAATAGCTAAGTTTCAATAATTTTAGTTAATAGTATTTAATTGAAATTTTGAATTTTTGACTTGGAGCTGCATGAACTTTGTTAATAAACTATTTTATTTTGAATGGAAATTGCAATGAATTTATTCCATATAAGTGCAGTTATCTGTTTGATGGTGAATTTGAGTTTGATTCACAATTTTATTTGTTGTTCTAACACACATTTAGAAGGTTGTTTGTTCACAAACAATACATGACAGTCTGCATATTGCCTGATTAAATAACATTAACTACCTCTACTGGGGTGGGCAATGAATATATTAAAATTGTACAGCAATGTTTTACAAAATTGATTGGTACACTATAATTGTATTGGGTTTTTACCAGTCACATTAAAAACTGAATTTGATTAAATGTTATTATACAGTAGTAGCCATTCAAGAGAAGTATTGTGTCCTGGTGAGACCCTGTAATTTAGTGAAAAGGTGGAGTCAGAGTAAAAAAAAAAAAAAAGCACCCCAAGGAGAAGGTCAGTGGCTGGAATTTGGAGGGGATTTTGCTGGGAGTTGCAGCGTAGTAGGCTGCTATTCGGCTGGCGTGTGACTGGAAAGGGCCATTTTGAATGGCTGCTACTGTAACTATTTTTAACTTATTAACTGCTTTTGAATCCACTTGTTGTGTAAACTTGCATCATTTTTATGAATTGCACCGTATAAATTAACTAAGCTGAACTCAATATTATACAAAAACCATGACCTGCCTGTTTCAACTTCTCACTGGCTTGCAGGATTCTTCATCAGCCAGTGGTTGATTAGGTTCATGTAGATGCTTCATACTTATCCTTACTCTGATGTAAAATAAAGCAACAGACTCAAACGACAGCAGATAAACACCATTGACGCATTTGTAGGTCAGCTAAATATAGCTGGGTTTGTCTTGCTGTTTCTTAAAACACGCTTTTTATCTTTAATGAAAGAAGATTGTAAAAAATAATGAAAACAAAGTAAGAATTTACTTTCAAAATCATATCACGTCCTAAAGCTGTGGTATTGAAGATAATCTGAAAAATAAAAGTTTCATTAGAAAACATTTTTCTTTTTAACGTCTATAAATTTCAGTATTTATTGAACAGTTTCAGAGCAGCTGAACTATTTCTGGCTTAAAGGGTGCCTTTGCTATTTCACATCAGCTGAATTTTTAAACTATTTCAGACAGTTCAGCAGCCATGACCTCAAGGACATCACTGACATATGGGGCTTCTGGTCTGTTCAAATATGGTTTGTCTGAATGCTTCAAGTGTTTTTTTTTCTCAGTGACATGACAAATTCATGGCAAAGCTCAGGAGTAATGTATGAGTAAAATGGGTTGGTTTGTGTAGTATGGCTACCTGTAGGGGTGTAGTGGCCAGCAGCTCACACAGCTGCAACAGCAGGGTTCCTGGACTGCTCTCATTCACTGCCAGGTAAATGACGTTGGCTTGGCCTGATGGTGTCATCACCGTCTCAGTGGAAAGTGCCGCCAGTGACAGGTATGTTGAAGAGGACAAAGAGGCCATGGCAGCGACTCCTGCCAACGAGGCTGTATCCGTCACCCCCCTTCCTCCTCCACCCGGACCAGTTCCCAGACCGGACCCAAGACCCGGCTCGCCAACCCCCGCACCTCCCACCGCCGCCGTCTCCGGGAGCAGGGAGGAGCCAGAGTGGACTACGGCTATGTTGATGCCACCCGAGTCCCTCTCTCTCTCCCGGGGCCGGAGGAGCAGGGGGGGCGAGGGGCGTGCGGGCCCCGTGCAGGCCAGGATTGCCAGTAGCAGTGAGAGGGTAGGCCTTGGGGCCACCATGGGGTAAAGGGAGGGCCAGTGGTGGTTGTCTGATGGGGTTTTGCCAGGTGAGGCCAGGCAGGGTGGAGGATTCTGTTTGAAGGATGAAGGAGATGGCGGTGGGAGCCTGGCAGCCTACAATGCTTCACCCAGTGTGAAAAGGAGACCCTGCAGACAAAACAAAGAGAAACATTGAAAACTGGTCTGTTGCCATTTATATTTTTGAGCCACAAAAATAGTTTGTAATTGTCGCTAATGTAAAAGTATGCATACATAGACTAAATTTGGAGACAGTTCATTAATGTGGGTGTTATATAGCAGTTACTTTTTGCTGACAAGGTATGTACGTGACTCAGAATAAAACCCATTTATCTTTGTCCTTATAAATCATATTCTGACACAATTTCATTTGTAAATAAATTAAAGAGGCAAAACCCCTCTTTTCAGCAACATTTTGTGTTAACTGGGACCATGATTAGAAAACAAAATTGAACTTTATATACACAGAGATGATTTAAGAAACTAGCCTCAAGACTTGCAGGTGGGTTCCACAAAATATGTTTTAATTGATTTAATTTAATCTTTATTTTTTAAGTTCTGAACTTGTAAACTTCACAAAATAGGCTTGGTTTTGACATCTTTAAGAGGGAAGCACTTCTTTAAAAGGAAACAAATGTTGGAAAAAAATGTTTCAGCCTGTTTAACCCCGCAAAAAAACCTTGAAATATTTGTTTTCCTCCTCAATACAAACTAAGTGCTACATTGTCTCCATGTGGCTGGTTTCAGAAGAACAATGACTGTAAACAATGTAGACATACAGTATAGAACTGAGAAACAGATGGAAGGTCACGGGCATGAAAGGTCTAGATCAGGGGTCAGCTGCATGTGGCTCTTTAGTGCCCCCGACGCAGCTTCCTGGAGCTTTTTCAAAGATTTATTAAAAAAGATTTTTTTTTTTATTTCTTTATTTTAATGTGGTGTGCAGGAGGTCAAACAAACATTCATTATATTTTCCAATGCTGTAGAAATGTGTATAATAAATGAATAAATTTAAACAATAAATGTTTCAACAAACATTCACCTCCCAGCCATGGAGATCAGTGGTCATAGCCTGCAACACACGTTTCAGTGCAGCACGGTGCCAGGCAAACAAAGCGGCGGGTGTATCTCATATTGATCCCAAAGGGAAAAAAGGGAAGATAGCTGATGAGAACAGAGGATTCAAAGAAGAATGGAGCAAATTATTTGCTTTCATTACCAATGCGGAAGGATTGCCTGCATGTTTGCTTTGTAATGAGAGGTTGTCAAAAAATAAAGAGAGTAATTTGGAAAGGCATCTCCAGGGAAGGCATACTAAATTGGCAGCCGACTACCAAGTTGGGAGTGAGAGAAAGATTGCGATTGCAGAACTTCTGGAGATGGAGGAAGTGGGATTTTGGGGTGAGAGAGCACTGCTCTGATGAATGTCAGTTCCAGCTTGGTCCCTCATGACTCAATCAACTCCTAACCAACAGAAACACTTCCACCATAGAAAGATTCCTTTACTGGTTTACTATCATTTCATCAATACAACGAAACCTAAACCATGTGGTAAAGGGCGGTGAACTCCACGCAGTGAGAGCACACACTGCTCCTCCCTCAGCTCATGCAGCTATGTGACATTTGCTCCAGGATAAACATTTAATCATGAATGCTTATATATTTAAGCCAACGTAGTCCTTTTTTATAGTGGGCTATGAAAGCCTTTGTTGCCATATGAGGCTTATATAAGACTGATTTGTGTTTTTTTTGGTCCAATATGGCTCTTGGAGCAGTTTGGGTTGTGGACCCCTCGGCTAGATCAATGGCCAATTCAAGGTGATAATAGGAACAACATGTAGATTAATTAGCACCAGACAACAGAGCACCGCTTCTAAAGAAGAAAAAAAAGGAAACAACAAAACAAAAGTGACATGGCAGGAACCTCAACATGTATGAAGATATATATATATATATATATATATATATATATATATATATATATATATATATATATATATATATATATATATATATATATATATATATATATATATATATATATATATATATATATATACACTATATTGCCAAAAGTATTTGCTCACCCATCCAAATTATTGGAATCAGGTGTTCCAATCACTTCCATGGCCACAGGTGTATAAATTCAAGCACCTAGGCATGCAGACTGTTTTTACAAACATTTGTGAAAGAATGGGTCGCTCTCAGGAGCTCAGTGAATTCCAGCGTGGAACTGTGATAGGATGCCACCTGTGCAACAAATCCAGTCGTGAAATTTCCTCGCTCCTAAATATTCCACAGTCAGCTGTATTATAAGAAAATGGAAGTGTTTGGGAACGACAGCAACTCAGCCACGAAGAGGTAGGCCACGTAAACTGACGGAGCGGGGTCAGCGGATGCTGACGCGCATAGTGCGAAGAGGTCGCCAACTTTCTGCAGAGTCAATCACTACAGACCTCCAAACTTCATGTGGCCTTCAGATTAGCTCAAGAACAGTGCGCAGAGAGCTTCATGGAATGGGTTTCCATGGTCGAGCAGCTGCATCCAAGCCATACATCACCAAGTGCAATGCAAAGCGTCGGATGCGGTGGTGTAAAGCACGCCGCCACTGGACTCTAGAGCAGTGGAGACGCGTTCTCTGGAGTGACGAATCGCGCTTCTCCATCTGGCAATCTGATGGACGGGTCTGGGTTTGGCGGTTGCCAGGAGAACGGTACTTGTCTGACTGCATTGTGCCAAGTGTAAAGTTTGGTGGAGGGGGGATTATGGTGTGAGGTTGTTTTTCAGGAGCTGGGCTTGGCCCCTTAGTTCCAGTGAAAGGAACTCTGAATGCTTCAGCATACCAAGACATTTTGGACAATTCCATGCTCCCAACTTTGTGGGAACAGTTTGGAGCTGGCCCCTTCCTCTTCCAACATGACTGTGCACCAGTGCACAAAGCAAGGTCCATAAAGACATGGATGACAGAGTCTGGTGTGGATGAACTTGACTGGCCTGCACAGAGTCCTGACCTCAACCCGATAGAACACCTTTGGGATGAATTAGAGCGGAGACTGAGAGCCAGGCCTTCTCGTCCAACATCAGTGTGCGACCTCACAAATGCGCTTCTGGAAGAATGGTCAAAAATTCCCATAAACACACTCCTAAACCTTGTGGACAGCCTTCCCAGAAGAGTTGAAGCTGTTCTAGCTGCAAAGGGTGGACCGACGTCATATTGAACCCTATGGATTAGGAACGGGATGTCACTTAAGCTCATATGTGAGTCAAGGCAGGTGAGCAAATACTTTTGGCAATATAGTGTATATATATATATATATATATATATATATATATATATCAGAGACAAAAGCTGCAACCGCTGAGACTCAAAAGCATTTTCCTAATTTTAAGGATTTCTTGCCACGAGAATCCAGTTGTGTTAAGAGTGATGACCAAAGTTCAGATATTACAGCAGAGCTCAGACAATTTCAGAAAATGGAGTTACAACAAAAGCAGTGCTTAAACAAAGTTCCCAAAATTACAGAATCATAAAATACTGCTTAAATACTGCTCTTACTGTTCAATTCCAAACATCTGAAGCATAGCCGGTCATAAACTTTGAAGTACTGTACCAAATGCCCTTTGACTGCTTCTTATTTCATTCGCTCATACTGAACACCTTTAATTGCTGTTACCACTCTTAGGAGTTCTCCGTAAGCTGACAGTGGCGCTGGGCTTACACTGAACGCGGTGCAGCAGCTGTGCTGCAGAAAATCACTAAAACCGAATGCTGTGACTTGGTTGTCCGTGCTACAGATACTGCACTCTGGAGAACAGACGTTCAGGTGGGCTTATGCTGCTTCCAGGAGTTGTCAGGCAAAACTTATTATCGATGCACATAATATATTCCTACTCAACCTCAGCCTCTCTGTTTTTGTTTTCACTGGTCGTTAGCTTAGGTTGGTGGATCAAATTTATTCTAAAATCCACCAGAACTTTTTTTCTTTCTGGCACTTAGCTTTTCCTGTTTGGTGTGTGCAGTGCAAGACTTATGGTGTACGGCCAAACTTTATTTTCTCTGATCTGAATTTACACATTGATTTCAAAGATTTAGGTTCCTTGTGGTGCCCGCTCGGCAGCTGCACCACGTTTAGAGTGAGTCAGGCATCAACCTACGCCTTAAGGCTGTTTAATATACTGAGACCTGTTTAAGTAAAATGATGGCTTCCAGAGAAGCACAGAGTGAGGCTGTAAAGTTTCGCTGACATTGATTACAAAAAAGCATAGGTGAAATTTAATGCATCGAAGAGTTTAAAAAATAAACAAATTACTGCGCCACATAATATATTATTTTTTATGGTTACGCAGTTTATATCACATGTAGTTCACTAATGCACCGACAGACAGCAGTATAGGCTTCATTCCATGGTAAGTTATGCTTACCAGTCTATAATCCCACTGTGCTGCAGCCAGTTTAGCTATCTAGATGATAAAGGTTCTCCTTACCCACAGAGAAAGCCTCCCTTCTGAGGTATATCACTTCCAAACTCCCCCTACCACTACTTAATGAAAGCTAAACACATCTGTAACTCAGTCAGACGATATCTAACACCTAACGTTCAGTTTACAGTACTATGGTGTCTTATTTGTTACCCTCTGAGAATAATGTGAAGTTGCATAACAGAGCAGTTTTTATTAAACTTTAATGTCTTACTGGAAATCTAGAGAATATATTCGGATGTAAATAATTTATTCATGTTTTTACCTTGATTCATAGAGAACCCACAGCTTGTTCAACGTACGGTTGTAATAATAAATGTCGACCGTGCATCAAAGTCAATCTGTTTCTTCACAGAACATTTAAATTTTTATTCACTCCTTCCTCCAGGCGGTGTTGGTCGGAGCTGCTTTGGGCTTCCTGCTTATCTCCAAGTTCAATGGGTGAGAAACAAGGTACAGTCTGAACATGTCACCAGTCTGTCACAAGAATAAGATAAATCCAACAGAAAAAGGCATGTGTTGACCCTTACACATAAGGCTTACTTTGAATCTGCCAACAATGGGCATGTCCCACAGACTGCAGTGAAAAAGTAAGAAAACTGGCGTAAACAGGAAGGAAAAAGTGCATGTTACATGCACAGAAATACCAG